AACAATTCATTCCACCATCATTCCTAACAAATTTATAACTTCCAACAACATATGTATGACCATTCATTCACACCCAACCAACAAATCCTATCCAATAATCACCTTTAAATCCCTACCATGGTCATGCATTTAAATTGGGAATTTATGACTTCCAATCACCATACCATAAGTTGTAATACTTGATTCATACTCATAATTCTATAATAACACCATATATGTAAGTCTAAGGGTGTAGGATTACCTCTTGTAGACAAAATCTTGAAAGACAACTTTTGAGGTGTTCTTGAGATTTTGAAGAAATCCTATGAAACCCAATCAAAATCATATTGTAACTAGTGATCGAGAAGTGAAATCACCATGAAAACACACTTAAAAACTCACCTTAGGTGTGCAATTGGATGCCTTGGTCGAGTTGAGGCGTAGAGGAAACCCTAAGCTTGAGAAGTGACTCAATTTCTATTATTTTCGGCCTTTAAAGTATTTAAAACTTTCCAGATGCGAGAGTTCGCGCACTTGTTCGCGCGATTGTTCGCGCGCAAGGCAGAATGCTCAGCAAAAATGCGCTACTTCGCGCTAGTGACACCTGCCCAGTAAAATGGTCATAACTTTCTGTATACACCTCGAAATGACGAACGGTTTATTGATTTGGAAACTAGACGCAAAGGGCTTTAATTTTATAGGTTATGCATCACACAACTCGTTATATAACCGGAGATATGATCGTTCAAAGTGAGGTCTTGTGCGCACTCATTTACAAATTTGTCTAATATGAAACTTTTCCAACTTGGCTTAGACTTAGGCCTCTCCTTAGACCCCAATTCACTTCTAATATGACTTATACACTTATTAACATAACCACTCAATTACCATCACGATAATGCTCGTTTAATGCATCCACAACCGATTCAAATTACGGGGTGTTACATTATCTCCCCCTTGGGATCATTCGTCCTCGAATGATGGTCCTGGCTGCAACTACGGCTATTTATGGCCATTAAATGGGTGTTATGGAGATATGAGAATACTAAAATATTATGAATACATGTATATCAAACTGAACGAGCACGTGATCACTAAATACTAAGCTAAGTAGATATTGTAGGACACAGAGATTTTATTATAAGACCTGAATGGAATGGTTAATTACCTTCCACATTTTCCTTTTGCTCTTCAAAGAGATGGGGATATTTGGACTTCATGTCTTCCTCGGTTTCCCGTGTAGTCTCTTCAACCTTTTGATTTCTCCAAAGCACTTTTACTGAAGCAATTTCCTTAGTTCTGAGCTTGCGGATTTGTCAATCAAGAATAGCTACTGGAATTTCCTCATAAAACAGGTTGTCCTTAACCCCTATAATCTCCGTAGGAACCACAAGTGACGGGTCTCCCATGACTTTCTTCAACATGGACACATGAAACACTGGGTGTACAGCAGCTAGTTCTTGTGGCAATTCTAACTCATAAGCCACCTGTCCGATCCTTCGCAGGATTCTATATGGACCAATATAGTGGGGGCTAAGTTTCCCCTTCTTTCCAAATCTCATAACGCCTTTCATGGGCGATACCTTCAGAAATACCTAATCATCAACTTGGAACTCTAAGTCTCTACGTCGTACGTCCGAATAGGACTTTTGGCGACTTTGAGCTGTCTTCAAATGCCTTTGTATCAAATTAACTTTCTTCATGGCCTGATAGACCAAATCGGGTCCTAACAACTTCGCTTCTCCAACTTTGAACCAACCAATTGGTGATCTACACCTTCGCCCATACAGAGCTTCATACGGTGCAATCTTGATATTAGAGTGATAACTGTTATTATAAGAAAACTCTACAAGAGGTAGATGATCATCCCAATTACCTTTAAAATCAATAACACACGCCCTCAACATATCCTCAAGGGTCTGAATGGTGCGTTCCGCCTGGCCATCTGTCTGAGGTTGAAAAGCGGTGCTGAGATTCACCCTTGTGCCCAATCCTTTTTGAAAGGATTTCCAAAAGTTTGCTGTGAACTGAGCACCACGATGTGAGATAATGGACAAAGGAGTCCCATGCAATCGGACAATTTCTTTGATATACAACTGTCACGACCCAAACTGAAGGGCCATGACTAGCACCCGACCACACTTGCCGAGCACCA